GAAGAAGCCGGGTGGGGCGACGCGGCCCGATAGGGCAGAAGATGGGTCAGGGGATGCGAATCATGGCAGATGGATGTGTGGTGTGCGCCGGAGGAGGAGGCAGGTGGGGGATTGATGGGAGGAATCATGGTAGTTTGGTGGTGGGGGAGGGAGACGAAGAAGGGGGTGGTGCGAGGCAGATGTGGGAGGAGTGGGGGTGGCCAGGCATGTCTAGCCGGGGTTGACCTATTTTTTTTGTCGGGGCTGAGGGGTGTTAGCAGAATAAGCCTGCTGTTATCAGAATAAGACTCTTAAGGGTATTATCATAATAGACCCACCATATATAAATAATTTTTTATATATAATAATAATAATTGTTTATATATAACTTGGCAAGTTAACTTCCAGTGATTGCGTACATAAATTTGCAAAGATTTTACTCACCAATGCAGTAATATACCGCAATCATGTGTTTATGTTTTTATAACATTTCTCCGTCTAGCCAAACATGGTATTTCACCCAGCCCAGCAAGTCCGCGGATTTCGAGAAAAATACAAATGGGCTTTAAATTCTACCATATATATAAACGGGTTGCATAGATGCTACATCATTGTTTCTCCCAGCCCACCAAATGGACTAAAAAACAAATAGACTGGCTGACATGTGGCCCAGCAGGTCGAAGCCTAAGCAAGGCATTGGATTTACATCCAACGGCCGGCATTCTTCTTCAGTCTCTCGTCTTCTTCCCCCAGTGCTACCGGGACCGCCTGCTCCAGCCTCCGGCGTCCAGCGGCGTTGTTTTGCGCGCCTCGTAGCGAAACGCTGCCCCGCCGATGGCCAGGCCATCCCTCCACTCCGCACCTCTTGTTATTCACTGCCGAGTGTAGGCCCATCCCGCACCCTAACCGGTCAAGTTTCCCACTCCTCTCTGTCTGCGACTCCATTTCCGCATCTTCCCCATCTCCGGGTCATTCCAGTCTGGGGCCTCATCATTGTCCACCGCCTCGCTGCGCTCGGTGCGGCATGGTCAACAAACGAGATTCATCGGAAGAGGACTGTACGTGAGAGCCTGACGGCTGGGACCCACG